GAACCGCATCTTGGTCGCGCTGAGATGGAAAAAAATGTCCTGGATGGTAATTGCTGAAGTATCTCGAGCGGCGGATTGTTATGGGATTAAGGACAATGGATAGTTTGTAAGAATCAATTTCTTTTTCATCCCCCATTTGGGGTTGGGGCGTTCCGTGTTTTGGCGCTGCACGCTGAATTTCTCATAAGATTATTGTCTCTGCACGTTTGTTTACCTAGATAAAATACTCTTAATTTGCTCTGACGTACGTTGCACCAATTCATTGATACTTAGTATTTAAGATACTTCAAATTATGAACTTATACGCATTTTCGACATTGAATTCACTCACCTGGTTTGGAGTAAGTTTAAATTTTTAATGATGACTATACTCTCATCAGCTTGTAGGAAACTGCATGAAAACATTACAGTTCCAAACCATGCCTATTACACGAGTGAACAGATTCATAACTAACGTATATAGTAGATGTCATTTACATGTATTATCTTCAATGTATTTCCATTTACCTATAAGTCAATCACACCTAATGTTAGCAGCATCATTAGGCCTATTCAATGGGTTTCAACCCTCATGAAATATTGTTAAGCTCATTAAATAACTTCATGTTCATACATTTAAATGTTTTTTTTACAATAAAATGCCGAAAATATCCATATAATGTGGCTTGAATATATTATGAATATATTAATTTCTGTGTAAATCTCGTTCCTTAAATGCTTGACAACCTGCTTATAACTAAATTGGTAATACTTAAGATTAAGTGCATCCAAAAAAAGGGTGTTTTCATTTTTTAATTATATGTTTTTTGGGGTGTAGATAAAGAATCTGAAAGCCGTTTTTGGCGGTCGGCATCGGAAAACCGATTTTTTTTCCCCGAGGCTCTAATTCGTCAAAAAAATCGGGCAAAAATCGGCAAAATCGGAGAAAAAATCTAACCTAGCCTAACCTAACCTAGCCTAACCTAACCTAACCTAACCAAACCGTGGTTGCAATGTCGTGGTTGCCTGCAATGTCGTGGTTGCAGGAGTACATACTGTATATGGCTCACCGAGGCTAAGTTAAAAACGCTATAAATCCACGTATATTGGGGCCAAGATTTAACTTGCATTTTATCTTAGAGAATATATAAAAAACGGCATATATGAAAATCGGTTTTCCGATGCCGACCGCCAAAAAAGGATTTCAGATTCTTTATCTACACCCAAAAAAATTTATAATTAAACAAAAAAAAACACCCTTTTTTTGGATGCACTTAATCTAAAGTAATACCACTAAATGGTATTCCCATAAAAATCATGACCCATTTGTTATTCTATAAAGTTATGCATAGAAATTGATTTAATACAAGAAAATGTTATAATTTATGTAATTTTTTCATTTTTGTTGCAATATTTGCAAATCTAAATTTAGATAAATAATTCAAACTTGAATTATAAATTAAGGTACAGTACAAGAAAATTTTACCTTATGCGTAGCGCACACTGCTTTTTGAATATAAATAATGCTATAAATTATAAAACTACAAATAAGGACAAATTGTAAAAATTTTGTATTATTGTTTCTACAGGTTTTATAGTGCAATCTTGATGATTTTATAGTTGGTTTGTTCTTTTTTATACATTTTTTTAGATGTAAATGTTTTACTTAATCATGCAATACCATTCTTGGAAGCTTCAATCAGGCTACTTTTGTACATAAGTTATAAGATATTGAATGTAAATTTTCGGATCAATGTATCAAATTACTGTAGAACTTTTCAGAAGGAAAAAAGTATGCTCTTGAGGCGCATGGTTCTAATTCATTCAGATATACCTATCTGATGGTCGGAATTCTATATGGAAAATTAAAATAATTTGTCAAGATCTTCGATACAAATATATCTTTGTTTGAAAATGTAAGAAATGAAAAGAGCATTAATTTGAACATGTTTCACATAAAATTAAATTACTAAATTACCCAATTGATTAAAATGCAGTAACCGCAGTCAAGACAGCGCCCAATATAGTGACGGCTTTTCGAACTCTTACCTCTAGCACAGTATATGTATGTCTGCACATATGTACGTATATACGCACAAATGTATCTAGCACATTCTGCATTCATGGCTCGGCAGCTACAGAGTACATGATAACTGTGAGAGAGAGGGCTGAACAAAATCCGAGGAAAATCATAAAAAAAATCAACAGTGAACTCAAATATAAGAAATTTGAAGACTAAGACAAAAATTTCGGACTATCTCAAATTATTTCAATTCGCCAACTTCATCTCAAAATCAAATTCATCTCAAAATTCATCTCAATTCAACTGGCTCAGTGAGCCCCTTGACATTAAAAACAAATCCCAAACTATACGCAGCAACGGCTCAGCAAACGAGCGGGTGTTCTCAAACGGTTTGGTGTAATCTATGAATTTTGCTTCAAATAAGGTTTCAGACTTCTTCATTATTTGGACAACGTTGGAGTAATTGGAGTAACTAGAACGACATTGAGCAGCCGTTTATATTGCCACATGAGACAAGCTCACAACCAGACCAAGTCTCAAAGTATCACAATCGAGCAACTTCATCTCAATATCCGCGATGAATTCAACAGGCTCCTGACACCCTTGGCAACGTCAAACTGGAGGAACCCAACAGCATCGTCGTCATGGAGTGGCCCGATATCATGGGACCGACGATAGCTGAAGCCTAGTCTCATCTCTTTGGATTGGACTCCAGCTATGAAGTACAGAATTAGACCGACATTTTTAGCGCATTTTCTCATTTATGGAAAAAATGCACTATTGTGCTCGCCACGTCCGTCTGTCTGTCTGTCTGTCCGTCCGTCCGTGGCCTCAAGTTTACGTCGACGGGAAAATGCGCTCTCTGTCACTCACTGCAGTGAGTACTGAGTTATATTTTTTAATCAGTCGTGGTAAAAAGAAATCGCGTCACGCACTACAGAATTCGTGTTCATTACTTCAGTGTTCATCGCTCACCGAATAATTGTGCGAGAATATTCATGACTAACTGAATCACAGTACCGAATGTTCATCACTCACTGAATAATCTTTTTACACGTCAGAAACGTCAGCTCTTCGTACTCCTCCACGACCTCTTCAGTGATTCCTGAGCTACCGTTGCCCATGTTCTTCTCCGCGTTGTTAATTAAAGAAGAGATGAAAGCGCCGCACCACGCGCCTCTTAGTCCACAGTTCACTGAATTACGTCAGATCCTTACGCGTCTGTATCGTCAAAATCCATCTCATAACTCCCGGATTTTCTGAATTTTGAGATTGTTTCGGAGTTATTTTTACGGTTCCAAATTTTCTTGTTTTATCCTATTTTCGTGACGTGTATCATGTACTTGTTTCCACCATAAGTTCTGTATTCAATGCTTCCCACAACTTGAAAATGAATGTTGTCACATTGGAAACTTTGTTAATTAATTAAAATTACTTCCTTAAACCTGCATTTTGATCAACCAACGTCATCTGAAGAATTGATCGACCCTGAAAATTTAAGGCAATGAATTCTTTAGTCATTAATAAACCTAGTTCAAATAAGCTTATTCTGCCATCTAATACTTATTACGTACACAAAGCCTATGCATTGTTTCTACTGTAAATGTTGTATATTGTGTTTTATCAAAGACTTGTTGCAATGAAACTAAAACATTGGCACTAAGCTTTGAAACTGTACACAAGATATGCCGATAAAACTGAGCCCATCCTCTAATTTGCAAAACTATGAGAAGAAAACGACTAAACTTTTAAACAATTGCTTTCGCACCCTTTTAAGTGAGTTGGTTTTCAAAAGGCAATAGTTTGCAGAGTCTCGTTGAATTATTTGGGTAAACACATGTTTTTAAAGAACTATATAAGGCATCCATTATTTTTGTGAATAACTGAAACGTGTCATGAGCCATTTCTTTTATTTGGGAGATCCCTAAAATTTAGATATATAAATGTAGAAGATTGGCAATGAACGTGAAGATTTCAACTATTGTTCAAACTTTCAGAGGGTGAACGAGTCTAAGGGCTTTTTATGTCTTCATATTTTACTCGTGTTTACCACCAGGACAACTCCCCTAGACAATTCGGCGTCGACATACAAATCGCAGAGACATTTTCTTATTTGGCCGAAATTAATGCACCAATCTTTAACAGAATGCAAATCAACACAAGTTTTGATAAATTCCTATTTATAATCTTCTATTTTCCTTGTCGGTCGCTTTCCTTGTCCCAAGCTAATGAGAAAATATGCTTTTGGGCGATGAAAGTAAATATCATTAATTAAACTTCTATGATATATCACCCTGGCAAAAATTCAGACTTGTACTAACTTGTTGTAAGGTCATCACCACAAATGGGATTTATCCTTAACCAGTAGGATGGTCTTGGGGAATTTTTTGTAAAGTCTAGGGGAAAGATCATCTTGTGCTGTATGTATGTAAGTGATATCGCTTTATATAGTCTTCTTTTGTAGCATGAGAAATTGAGTATGCACGGTATGATTGAGCCATTTCAAACTACTAGTCTGATGAACGTTATTGCAGAAACAGCGCTTTAATTTTCATCGGAAACTTCAAAAAATAGAGCCTGTAATTTCGGTAATAAATCTACAACTCTAAAACTGAAAGCCATTGAAAACGAATGTTTGTTAAAAATCATTTGTGTCACCGTCATGTTTAACAGAACTTTTAGCAAATAATTCATCATTGCGGACAGTCCGCGGCTCAATTTTAGAGTCAAGAAAACTTTATTTCTCCATCTGAAATGATTGAATTGATGAGACCTTTAATCGTATTGATCTCACCGTATTGATGAGACATCAAAAATCATCATTAATCATAGCGTGACTCCGCAATTATGTGCAACTTTCACGCATGATAGCCAGACATCAACGTCAGAAAGTTTAGCCCCAAATCGCGAGGACAAAAGTGCCATCACAAAAGAGTATAATGCTTTGCAGTCATGCCGCGTCCAGAACGAATTCCCCACTTAGATACGCCCTGTTCACTGTGGTGTGTGGTTCACGTTTACAAAAGGTGAGTAATACTGACATTGCGGTTATCTTATACTCACCTATAAGGACATATATTAGGTCTTGCTAGTTTCTTCATTAAGATCACTTATTGTTTGCGAACAGTTTAATATCTGCAAAATACCCAGGTCTTAAATCTTTCAAACTCATCCAAATACAATAGAATAACGTCATGGACTTGAAACAATACATTTTATGCGATACTCAAAGCTAATTTCACCCAGGATACATTAATTATTAGTTGTTTTTTCTTACTATCTATTTGACTCGACAGTGTGGTGTCATTGTTGCATAGCTTTTTGATAAGATTTGGGCAATATCAACAAAAGTTCAGAGCAACGCCTGCATTTCGTTGAACGAAATTTAGAACTCGGAAGAAGCTCATCCTTCCTGTCCAACAACATCCTACTAAATAGCGATATATGAAATAATATATCATGTCCAGTAGCTTAAAAATACTATCTTGAAACTGATTTAAATGGCCAAACGATTCTATTAGGCCCTTGAATATTGATGAATATTTGAACATGCCCAAACAAGCCCAGGAAAATTACCTCTAACAATGTGTCCAATAAATACGAGAGCCTATTAATAATCACAACTGAAAAATACGATAAATTTGTTCAGAATAACAACATACAAGGCCTTTGGGGGTTGCGATCCACTTTTCAGGACTTTAACGATGGCGATGCTGCTTCTCGTTCTCCTGTCGGCGCAACATAGCAGCGCCACGTGGACGTCGAACATCCAGAATTACGCTATCCTGTCACCAGTGCAGGACATCGTCTCCGTCCACTCTGAATGTAAGCTGAAATATCATATATGGCTAAAGAATCGGCTCTCTAGGTCCCTTATTGTGACGATCGAAGTGCCTGTGTACATGTAAGAAAACAACAAGTAGGTATCGTATGGCTCAAGTATTGGTCCTTTAGGTCACTTATTGTGACGATCGAAGTGTCAGCAGACAAGTAAGAAAACAAGTTGGACGAACGCTAAATTTCAGGCAACTATTTTGGTGATTCGCAATTGGAAGTTTGATAGAGCGCATGAGACAGGCTTTTTGAATAAAAATAGCCGCGAACAAGCGGTGGTACTCTTGCGTACGAGGAATTCTTGATTACCTGCAAACATGTTTACAGTTATACTATATTTTTTGTTCTGATTTCCAATATTATTTAACCATTGCATGAGAATGCAAGGATTTAAAGTCCCGTTATGGACAACTATATTTCTTAATAATATTGTTAATTTTTGCAGAAATTCAATCTAGGTTCCGTAGAGACTATGACAAGTCACCATTTTTGACTTCATTTTTTTACGATCTCGATTGAATAAACAAAACAAACAAGGAGAGTGCGGAACAAATAAAAACATTTTAAGCTGGTAAAATTCCTTGCACATGCACAGATGCATTCAAATGCAAAATTTAATTCATAATAGTATCCAAAATTTTCTGGACAGGATGATTCTTGAAACCATTAGGTTTGTAAAAGCATGACGGGTATCCAAAAGAGTGTTGAATATCTGATCGAAGCGGCAGGCACGTTCCAGTGCGTAGCCAGTGGCAACGATCGATTAACGTCATAACATTCTGTCACGACTGCGCCACGTAGCCTACGAAGCTTGAAGAATGTTATAGTGCGGGCTGTGTCGATCTATGTTAATATTCCACTAACTTTACAACTTCATCCTTCTATCAAATTAATTGGTTGGGCGATATCATTTCCTGCTTTAACTGTTAGCCAGCTAATCAATAAATTCTTGGGATGTAGAGAACCATCATCTCCATATAAATGCCTGACAATGTTTTTTGTTATCGTATTTCAATTTGTACAGATTATACAATTTCATTTACGACTTGAATATTTGTGTTTGAAAACTCATATATTATTGCATTTCTTTAAATTTATTAGGTTTATCAACCATTAATATCATTTGATACCATCTAAATAATAATAATGTTTGTTCTAATAGGTGATTGTAGAGAGCTGTGCATTCAGTACGACAACTGCACGGCAGTGACGTACGATGCCGTGGGCGACACCTGCACCCTCAGTGGGGGGAGTCAGAGCTCCCTGACAACACAGCGTAGAGTTGACACCGTCACCTACGCCAAATTCAGTATTTACCCGTGACCAATGGCAACCGAGTCGATCCATGCTTCAATATTTTGCACTAAATTGAACGTTTCCTCTCTATAATATTTTTTTGCTGTAAATGGAATGTTTTCACCTTAAAAATTGTTTTACTGTAAATTTGAAATTTTTTAAAATCCCTTCCAATTTTCCCAAACCTGTTATACTCATCATGTTTCGGTCACCGCAAGTCAGAGGATTGCACGGAACTGAAGAACGCATAAATTTGGTTAAATTTGCTGCTAAATTTTTATAAATTCCTGCACAGGTTACACTCCCCCTGCACCACAGCTGTTCATGTCGACGGACAAGTCATATAACCAGTCTCGTGCAGATATGGTGGCAATGTGTGCTGCTCAAAATGGGATCCCGCTCATCATACGCACCACACAACAACGGGCTCAAGCCGTGCAGCTTGTGGGGAGTTAGTTAATTTTTCTAAATTTTAAGGCATTTTAAATCATATTTTGTATGATATTTTAATTTTACGTAGGAGAAAAACATTCAGTTTATAAAAAAGACAGGCTGACGAAGACACAATGTTTTTTTAATTTATTATTTATGCATTAGATCCTCACAATGAAAATGATGTAAACAAGAGCTGATGTGATGAAATTTTGTGGACCAAATACTTTTTCAGAAATTCCACATCTCCTCGAGCCTCTACAATTTAAGGTCAACTCGAATGCATTTGTGATTAACATGTCAATTTTTATATATTTCAAATTACCGACTTGCATGTATTCGTTAAAGAAGTTACTAACTTTTAATTGCATTGAAATGAACTGAATTTAATGCAACTCGTTCGTGAATAATTTTACTGCAATAATTAATTTTCACTAAAATCCGTTGATCATACAATTTATTTTAAACGAAAAACAGTGCCTTTTTATTTTTAAATTTATCCCGTTACAATTGCCTGCAACATCTAGTGCGGTATTACAAGTCTAATCTTGATTAGAATAATTGAATGTTTTTTTCAGCCTATGGTACATGGACCATTTTTTCCGGTGGAAGCTATGCCTTCCTCTCCGCCCGCGATGTGCTCGCCACTGAAGATCCCATTTGGCCCGACGGAACCAAAGTCATTGGCTCGGTCTTCACAAAAAGCAACATCCAAATTGAAACCAAGTATGGGATAGCAACAATGCTTACGAGCGACGGGAATGTTGTCATCACAAAGGAAATGAACCCTAACGAATTGCACTCCTTGTGTGAAAAATATCCATAAAAATTTCAGCCGCTGAAACAGAGCGTGTAATAATGAAAGGATCTTAAACTTTTCTTCTATTAGAATCGTGAGATAACTCTGTGGAATGGCTCTGTCATCCTTAATAGGTGATTCAAAACTATACCATTGTGCAAATTTATGAAAATAAATAATGCAACATATAGATGTTGGGATGCTTACATTTACATTTTCTTTTCATCATAAAGCGTTCCGTCACAAAGCGTCGCTTCACACCATAACTCTGGTCTTTGTGATACCTTTTCAAAAAATAATCCTCGTTCAGTTTGTGTTTAATTTGTGGCTTCGACATCATTTGGTACTTCTTCAAATTAAAAACATTTAATTGATGTACAACTTAAATGGATACGAGTTCAAGACGCATAGTTGGCCAATGCCTGAAAATCCTGGGGTCATTCTCTCAAAACTCGCTAAGTGAACGTAAGTACTTATATAACGCTCTATTTTCTTGTCTATGATTGGTGGATTTTGCGTGAAAGGCCGTCAATGACTGGCCGATGAACTTACGATCTCTTAATTTTTTTGAAAGTATGGGCCCTGGATGCTAGATTACCCTTATTAACAAGATATTTCACAAAACACTTGAAATATTTAGTGGAAGAATGTGAATGTTTTCGACGCGCATTAAACTTACACTTGGAAATTGTCCTCATGTATTAACGATATGTGAACGATACCGAATCTGAAGCTTGTTCGATGTTCGCTTTTCGACAGTAACAGTAAATGTAAAGCTAACATATTTTGATAAGAAAATCAGGCTCTTTTTTAATTTCAGTGTTATCATTTTTCATCGTTATCATTTTCGATCTCCAGCCTATGTGAGCATCTAAGTAAATAAATCGCACGTCTGTAAAAATAAGTCGTAACAATTAAGCGTGAGAGCTCAGAGCAGAATGGGGCGGGTGGACAAGCAGCTATAGTGTAGTGAACCGCATCTCGGTCGCGCTGAGACGGAAAAAATATAACTCAGTACTCAATGCAGTGAGTGACAGAGAGTGCATTTTCTCGTCGACGAAAACGTGACGTCACGGACGGACGGACGGACATGACGAGCACAATATTGTATTTTTTCCATAAATGAGGAAATGCGCTAAAAATGTTCTGGATGGTAATCGCTCAAGTATCTCGAGCCGCGGATTGTTATGGGATTAATGACAATGGGTTGTTTGTAAGAATCTATTTCTTTTTCATCTCCCATTTGGGATTGGAGCGTTCCATATGTTTTGATGCTGCACGCTGAATTGCTCACAAGATTATTGTCTGCACGTGTGTTTACCTAGAGCAAATACTCTTAATTTGATCTTACGTACGCTGCACCAATTCATTGATATTTAGTATTTAAGATACTTCAAATTATGAATTTATACGGATTTTCGACATTGAATTCACCTGTAATATTTGTTCAGAATTCATGTTCATTTTTCCATGTAATAAATCCAGTTATAATAATAAATATTTATTGGTGTATACCTTCAAATCTCGTTAATTTACCCTTAGCCCTGCAAGTAGATACCGGAACAACAATCTGTTCCATCAGATAGAGGTTCCATCAATTTTCCAACAACTTCATAAAATTGCTAAGACATAAACTTTTCAATTAAAATTGACACATAGTCCGAAAGGAACCTCATCGGATACAATATGTTACGAATAAATTCAATTTCGGTTTGTATAGCGTAAAGAGAAACAAATTCCATACCTGTGGTGTGTACATACGTACGTGAATTCCAGTCAGTCCGAAAAAAATAACATATGCTGAAAAAGCTCGTATCCAATCCGATGATAGTCGATTGACGAAAAACAGAAGTCTGAAAGCTACCCGGATGCTTAGAAAGGTGTCATCAAAGGGTCCGTTATAAAACAAAAGCTCAAAATCCAGGAAGCAATCAAGTAGTCAGTTAATTAAGAAACCCCGTTATAGCACCGAATCGACACTTCAGCGGACTCGGCTGCGGACTGGCCTGCGGACTCGAATCAAAACCTAACTTGACGTTCAACTCGACCACCCAGAAATCCGTCAATGATGGCCGGATTAATTCAACCATGGTCCGACCGGTCGTTATAGCATATGAACCCCGTTATAGCGCATAAACCCCGTTTTAGTGCATGAACCCCGTTATCGCGTATGAAAACAGTCGCAGAGTAGAGACAAGGAAGGCCCTTACGAAACCATTAATTTGCTGCTAACATTATTCTGCAAATACGAAAAGGGAGTTCAAGCAGATAATTCCCCGATAAATTATAAAAAGCTTCAGATCAGATCAACAACAAGGTCATTTATATCTTCTAACAAAGAACAAAGCGTCCAGACAATGATAGTTCTTTAGTTCCATTGTACCTACGCTTCTTGTGTATGCTGTATGTATACTCCTATGTATACTTTCGCAAGTAGGGAGGCAATTAATATTGTTTATAATAGATATAATATAATAATAAATGATTAGGCCTTAATAATAAAAACATAAAGTAGCTAACTCATGAGAATTCAGACATAAAGAAAC